GGCTGGGCAGACATTCTTTGTGACTCTCAGTTCTCCTCAGCTCAGTATGCATGCAGAGCTTTGACTGAGACATGGTGTGTCGTTTTCCCACACAGAGAGGAAAACCACAGCCCAGGTCCTCTCTCCACTGCAGGAGTAAACACTATGGACTTGTTCTCTTTTAACACTGGTCCACGCTCCTCCTGGGATCTGCCTCTCACTTGACCCTGGGCAGTCCCCAGTGAGAACAAGGAGCATTGCTGAAGCAGAGCAACATCACTCACAGAGATCTTCTGTAGAGCCTTGGGAAACTCCCTCCTCCAAGCTACTGAAATCCAGGGGTAATAATTAACCAAGCTAAGTGTTGCACTGTAATTGTAGCTGTGTGCCCTTCATGGGGTGCATGCATCTTAAAAATATTTGTGTTTTAAGGCTCTTTCTTGAAGCATACATTTGCCCACATTTTACTTTCAGCTGGAGAAATGAAAAGCTTCCCTTGAAAGACGCACAGGAAAATGAATCCAAATTAGCTAAAACTGGGGATGGGAAAAGGATTTAAATTAAAGGGGTGCAGGTCTGTTCCTTCAGAGCAAGGAAACCCCTGGGGCTGGTGGTGGGCAGGCAGAAGACTGCACTCCCAGAGCTGGAGAGGCAGTGGAGCCCAGTGCCAGGGCTTGTGGCTGCTGTAACAGGGTGAAACTTCAGACAGGAGTGAGTGGGGAAAACCCCTATTCTCTTCTTACAGGACTGGAAAGTCCTGTTTGGAAAATTGGATGATGAGAGGTCCTGGGAAAATCTGAGTGCTGGAGCAAAGCGAGGGTAGGCAGTCAAACCTCCAGGGTGTCAGGGGGAGTTTTGTTTCAACCCCTCTGGACTTCTTACATTATGGCCCGATATGTGTCAGCATTTAAAGGGAGCCTTTTGGTCTGGTCCTGTTAATGCTTCAGAGAGCTACCAGAAAGGACCAAGAGGTGAGTGATGCCATACCCATGACAGACGGTTGCTGGGGAAGGGGAGAGAGAGCCTGTGCAGCAGCTGCCCTGGTGGCCCATGCTGTCCTGGCTGGCGTGAGGGAACAGGACTTGCCTGCTCCCTCATCCCTTGGATCCTGTGCAGTTCTCACTTTCCACCAAAGCGGTGGCACCGGGAGCACAGCAGTGCTGGAAAAAGCCCTTCCTCCACTCCACTGAAGTAAGGGGCAGCATTTCGTCCAGGGAGAGAGTCTTCCCTGCCACCCTTGGACTCTGTTTTGCAATTCTTTCTCCTAGGAGCAACCAGATGCTTAATTATTTCCACAGCTTCTATAGAAAAATTATCTGTATCGGGCCTCTGCCAGGTCCAGAGTCCACCATCATTGAAAATTTTCCATTAAAACAAGTCACAAGTGGCACTTGTCCTCCTCCTTGGAGATGATGGTTTCTTTCCTTGGGTTTTGTTGCTGATTTCACCTTTTCTTTCCTCACTCAACCACCTCGCTCATCCAGATCTGAACTGAAGCTGTAGGGCTGCCACTCTTGGGGACACATTAAAGGTCCTGGTGACCTCACTGCCTTCTTCTGATGCATCAAGTCCTGCTGGGACTGGCAAGTAGATGTGTCCACCGGCTGGATGCACGACACATGGTTGGTAAACACTGTCAGACCCTACGTGGCCCTATAGGTCTTCTTGGTGTGTAAAATCCTAAGTAGTCAATAGGGAGTCCCTTCCTAATGTCAAAAGACTGAAGGAGGAGCAGGAAGACAGAGTTAGGGCCTCCAAGTTAGGACTGTGGCCTCTCGTGATGGCCAAGCTCATCAGCAAGCAGGCAGGCAGCTTCTGGGGCTGCCCATCCCACCTCTCTGTGGAGGGAGCAGAGACACCCACATCTATGTGCCAGCCAGCTCACATGGCCCAACCTAATTGCCAGGAGCATGTTGCTCCATAACCTGAGAGCGGCAGAATGAGCAAGTGGTGAAAGGTTTCCACTCGTGACTGCAGAGGTCAGGCTGGTGCTGGAGCCAGTGGGATAATGCAGCCTCCCCATGCATGTCCCTGGGTGCAGGGTTGCCTTTTGCCCTTGCTTTTAACACTTTCCAAAGCTGCAGTGAATGGAAGAGAAGGGTTCCCAATTTACTGTTGGAAAAATCAGGCATTGGACTCTGCTGTCCAATGTCGCTACCCTGGCAGCCTGTATTTTATTTGTCACCACCATAAAGTTCTTGAGAACCAGGTGATGATGAGAAAGGTGAAAGACAGGAAAGTAGGGACTGAAGCTGGCCCATTGGTTGTGGTTGGAGTGAAAAAGCCTTGCAGGGAGTGGCAATGCAAGGAGGAAGAGGAGAGTGTGCGAGGAAAGGGGAAGTCTTGTCCTTCGTGTGCAATATAAGGATGTATAGGAATATCCCTGTGCGATTATCAAAGCAATTTACAAGAACAAGCATCAGGGAAAGGCTGGAAACAAAAATGCAACCTCATGCTGTGTAATATAATGACGGGTCAATGAGCTCGTGTTGCAGGTAAAGAGGGAGAGGGGACCTGTGGAAAGGGAGGGAGAAAAGAACAGGTAGAGGCAGATATGTGTGCCAAGGGCAATCAGAGTAGAGGACACAGACTTGGCAGGAGCTAAGGAAAGTGAGGAGGTTAATGAAGAGGGGTTCAGTGGTAGAAAAATAATTCTGAACTTCACAGGACCTTGATCTGCAGTAGAATGGCTGCTCTCAAAGCTTGCAGAGCCACACAGGGCAGGTGTCAAAGGTGCTGGGAGAGAATTCTGAACCCTGGATGAGAGTGAGGAGGCACTGGCAGTACAAGCAAGAACAAGCTAGTGTGTTCTGCAAATAGCATCTGTGCTGTCTGAATAAGGAAAAAGTGATGCTGGCAGAAATAAGTGCATAAAGAATTCTTCCTCCAAGTCCTACAAACGGGACCATGCAATACATCTGCCAGAGTGCTGAAAAGACAGCATGAAGGCATGTTATCACCAAACCCACCCTCAGATCTTTCTAAAGGCATAGATGTGCAAAAGGCAGAAACAGGGTGTACATGCAGCGATTGAGGGCACGTATTTGAAAGTGGGGTTGCAGGGGGTGCCCTATAGTGGACCTCACTACATCATCAAGCAAACAGGCAAAGCTCTGCACTGAGGATTCCTGCATTAGCAACACACAAGTACACAACACGCCCCAATCTATTTTGCTAACAAATACATTAATCTCTGTCCTACTTGCTTCCTCTGCATATGCTACATGGTTACTTTTGTATGACTGATGGAGGCAAACAGTAGCAAAACCAGTATGTGGTGCTTGGGCAATGATTTGTTTAGCTGCAAAACTTCCTCATACAGTAAAACATTTGCTTAATTTATTAAGTCATATCAGAATTCTTGCAAGATTGGAGCAGTGCCTTCCTAGATACTGTTTGTCTAAATATTGCAATGGGCAGCAGAGAAAGTACTGCTGCCTCTGAAACTACTCAGCCAACCTGGTACTGTAACTGCATTTTTCTCCATCCCTCTGGCCTTCAAACGAGGAGTATTTGTATTCAGATGGTATCTATTAAAATATTTGCATACCAGGTCCAGCCATGTACCTGAGCACTTGTAGAGCACTGATAGCTACAGCTGGTGAATGCCTATGCAGGGCCTTGACAGCATTTCCAGTCCCTGATTTGCAAGGGGAAACTGAAACATAGCTAGTGAGTGGAACATTGCCTTTTCTATTCCCAGCCATGGAATCAGTTGGGATTCTTTGCTGGTG